AAAAATTTTAAATTTTAAATTTTAAAAATTAAAAACAGACTTTTACCTGTATCCTACATTAACTTTTTTATTTTATGCGTTAATTAGCACTGACACCTTTAACAATTGCAGTGGGCTCCCCTTGTAGAATTTTTCTATCGAAGGGTTCCATAAATCTTGCTTGTCGTCTACGCTTAGATATTTTTTTTAAAAATAAAGACAATAAGTAATAAATTAATATTATTATATGTTAATAATTAAAAATTTAATTTTTAAATCGAATAACTTATCTGCCTCAATAAGATGCACGGTCATCGAGCCGTTGGTGGAGTTCTACGCTTAGACATCTTTAACAAAAGCAGTGGGCTCCTCTTGTAGAATTTCTCCATCCATAGGCGCGCCCCATGCTTCTTCTAGGTCATTTCATTGTACACCAATCTGTGTGGTAATTAGCCCTGAAGACACCTTCAACGATAGCCGTGGGCTCCTCTTGTAGATTTTTTCTATCCGAAGGTACCATCAGTCTTGGTCGTCGTCCATGATCATTGTGCTGGTGCTTCTTCTGCGTCATTGCATACCAATTTGTGCGCGGCAATTTTGAGATGCTTTCATAAGGTAAGTTGGATGTGTTCATACACGGTTTCAAAAGGCAACAATGCTGTTAATTTTTCATCCGGTTATAACTTCTAATGTTTGATATTATTATAACTTATAATTATTTATGATGTTTTATTGAGGAAATGAATGTATATCATATTAAAAATAATTTTTTATAAAAAAAAAATTAATTTGTATTTTTAAGGGTAGTGGGCATAATTAGAGTTTTATAAAACATAATCCCTATAACAGTAAAGTAATTTTAATTGTCAATTTGTCATCAGTAATAATTTATGATTCTCACTACTAAATAACTGAAGTCATTTCTTTACTGATTATGGGAAATAAAAAACAGGCAACATTCTGAAAATCATCGAATCTGCATCAATGCGGTGAATAATGACTAATAGAATTAAGGAGAGCTTACTTTCAAAATCCATGTTCAAATGCAACACAATGCCATAGAAGTTCTAGCAATCATACTAAATGTATAACTTAGCGAAAGCTACCTTTTCTCGTTTCTCCTGCAATGCTCTCAGCACAAGAGTCCAATAACACTCATTTGTCCCTCATTGTGTAAAGCGAATTAAGATTCTTGATGATCAATGTGAAATAATTGGTCAAAATACATCATTGAAGTTCAGAGGGATGTGCAAGACAGGATTCTGGGCTTTGCCACGAGTCACTTACAAACCTGCAAAAGAGGCGTTAAACATTTGGTCGGGCTTTTAATGGTTGTTTTCAGTCAAAATCCAAAACTTTATTTATATAAATAAAACATAAATGAGTATTAAATTCATTTTAAAAAAATTAAATTATTTAAATTATTAAATTTAAAAATTTTATTTACTTCAATAAAAATTTAAAAATTTAATAAAATATTTAGAATAAACTTGAGATTTTAACATATAGTTTTAC